ATGATCCAATGTAATACGTGGCCAAGACTTAACCAAAAAGACCCGGAGAGCCGTTTTCCTCTGCCTCTGCAATCAGACAGACGCTGATCTCCACAAATCCCAGAGCATCTCATGTTCCGTCTGCATTACATGGATTAAGACCTGTTGAAATTATATATATATATATATATATATATCAATCAGAAGAACAGACTGGACCAGGCTGTGCTACCAAATCCTCTCATCTGTGCCCAGAGAGGCAGAGAAATTACACCAAATTAAGGTAGAGAACTGCAATACCCCCCACCATCCACTCACACACACACACACACACACGCACGCACGCAAGCAGAGGCTTTTTAATCCGGGCTTGCACTGGCCTCCATCAGCTCCTGTCCATTAGGGTGGGTTTTTTTTGCAGCATGGCCTGAAAACCTCTCCACTTTGCCTTCATCAGGGTGTAAAGAGCCACAGCTGCTTGTCCACACACACACACAAGCACACACACATGAGCGCGCACACACACACACACACACACACGCACAGTTAGATCTATGGTCCATGTTTTGCTTTCCCATCTCATAAATTCACCTGAGAAAGAAAAAGGTGTTTAAGGTTAGATGACTTGATAAATGAAAGAAAAATAAATTTAAATAAAACTAGGCATCTCTTCTTTTCTCTCTTGAGTGAACTAGTAAGCACTACACACACACACACATAAACTCACACAGACACTGCAAGTTTTTTTTTTTTTAAATGGAAGCACAAACCCAAACACAAGTGTGACAAGACTTTAATCTTAAGTCACTTTTACCCCAGGTGATGAGACAGAAACTGATGATGCTGATAATCAAAGTGAGAACTCATTTCCCATTGTAAACGTATAATTATAAAAAAAATAGCTCCCTCAACAGAAAAGTGTTTGCCATATTGTTCTGGGTTTTTTTGTTTTTTCATTATTATTCAATAATAGTTATTGTATTAGTGCATTATTGCATAGCTTCAGTACAGAAGTATGAACTAAAGGTGTTATGGAAGGATGGTCTGAAATACTTTCCCAGTCATCCAGCGAGGCTTGCTTGTAGCTTTCCACATTCTTTCCTTCATTTATAGCAAATTGAAGTGCAGCTATGCTTGACAGCAGTGCAGAGGTTATCTCAGCTACAGCCGTCTCAACTCCAGCCGGCAGCCTATGGACATCACATGATCTTGTTACACACACACTCTCTCACACACACATACACACATATGAAAGCAATACACAAGTATGCTAAGTAAAATTTCTCCAAGCAAAGGCATTTTTCCGAGACCCATATGTTCATCCTCGGTGAATAAGATTAGCCCCCAGCGCCTTCATTTTAGGTTTACTTAAAACCCTGAGCAGCTGTGGAGGAGAGAGTATGTTCAAGATCAAGAAACAAAATGGCACCATTTTCCATGCCATTTGGTTCGCAAGTTTTCTCAAGTAATCTTGCTTGTTCCCGCGAGGCACTTCGGTGGCCAGAGAGGAGTGATCTTCATGGGTCTTGGCAAGGCTATACCATCTGTATGCAAATGCATCCCATTATGGAGGAAAAATAAATAAATTAATCCTCCTGCACCATGTGTGATAAACATCTGCTTTTTCTGTGGACCAATCTGCTCTGATTCTTAATTCCAAATAAATACAAGGCACATGAGAACAGGTGATCATTGTCCTCACCTCTGCAGCTGAAACATCAGCCTGACCCATGGACACAGAGCATCTGGAAGAAGAAATGTTGGATAGATAATGAAACCAAGCAAGCAGCACTACTTCAGGCATCAGAAAACCTTCTAATCTTTATATACTGTATCATAATAGTGTGTTTCCTTTGAATGAACCAGTGTCACAGTGTGAACAGCGTTTCTTTGTGGTTCCGGTAGGAGAGTACTGAGTACAGACATCTCCAACAGTTTTTCCTGGTCTTATTTGTACACTGAATGAGGTATAGTTGTCCATGATAATGAGTGTGGTGTGCAGAAGGAATAGGCAATGTGCTCGAGCAGTACAGCTTCTGAGAATTAGGCAAGGTTTCATGTGGTTATAATAAACATGAGCTGCTGCTGGGAGTATCTGCAAAAGAAACTGCTCGCCTTCATTTTGTGTCTGTAAATAAAACCTGAGGTTCTGCCCTAAGAATGAGAAATCAACTATTTGAAATTCAAAAAGATCCCTCAGCTTAAAAAGTTTCCCATCTCATCATAGGATGGGATCTCAAGTAAATGATGTCTAAGAAGTCTAAAAAGTAGGACAGTGGGTAAATTCCTTGGACACTATTACCCTTCTGTTTGCTTCCCGTTTTCTTCAGCTGTTCCTTATTATTGCTGTCATTGTGATAAGTTAGCGTGCACTGATTTACAGTTGGTATACTGTATCTAATAAAATGATAAATTATTTTATATACAGTATGTACAGTCCACCCCAGAATTAGTTGCAGCCCTTAAAAATGAGCAAAATTGACTGTATAAAATACACATTACACACAATAATTCAAATTTTCCAGGCTTTTGTTCAGGGATTCTTGTGAAGATTGATGGCATCATAAATTATGCAAAGTACCAGGATTTTTCAGCCCGAAACTGAGTTGCCTCTGCCAGGAAGTTCCAACCTGGCCATAGATAGAGTTTTCAACAAGATGATGGAACAAACATACTTCCATATCACAGAATGGTTAAAGGAAGGCAATATCAATATAATATTTTGCAAAGTATGAAAGGGGAAGTATACATGCAATAACCTGGGAATATTAAGGAGCTTAAAAAGCATAGATAAGAATCCCATCTAACCCTTCTAGTAGATATTCAGTGCTGTTATTCTCTTCAGGGCAGACACCACAAAATATTAATTGTAAGGGTGCCAATAATTTTGAAACCAGTGTTCTGCAGAAAAAAGGCACTGTTTTTTAAAAAAAAATGCATGTGTGATTATTTTTATATATTAATTTTCATGAAGTGTGCCATAATTATGGAGTGCACTGTATATAACAGGGCCTTTAAAAAGTCAATTTAAATTTAAGTCTAACTGTTCAGAAAAAAAAAAAATTAAACCAGTATGACATTCAGGAAACACTTTGTCTCCACATCTCAATATCTCAGTCTAACATCCAATCTCAAAGGTAAATCCAAGTTTTGCCGTCTGGTTTGAGTTTAATGTGGAAGCTCTTTGCTAGGTGGATGCTGTGTGTGTGTGTGCTTTGCTGTATGTTGCGGCTATGACAGCAGCCTCGGCGCAGAAAGAGGCTGTTAATGAAATATGAAGCTCTTTATTGAGTGGTAGGCTAAAGAGTGTGAGGTAATATTGCCGCACTGAAATGGTGATGAAAAATTCATGCTGCTAAGTTGGGGAGGTGAAAGAACCGCTCCTCGGGATTTCATTTTGCTGTTTGATTTTCTTATTGGCTGCCTGACTCGCACACACTCACATTATTCCACTGCTGAGAGTGAAGGCCTGAGTTGTCTGCAGCTCTAGTGAGAATATGTGTGTGTGTGTGTGTGTGTGTGTAAATATATATATATATATATATATATATATATATATATATATATATATATATATATATA